CACACACACACACACACACACACACACACACACACACACACACACACCGATGCCAAGTTCACCCTGTAAATAGTTGCTGTGCTTTTGCAAGGGCTTCTGGGCCACATTTGAAGGAGACGACTTGGCAAATAAAAAAAAAAAAGGGAAAGAAATCTCTCTTTTATTGCTTATGTCAGCTGAAAGTTTCCCAATCAAACCAAAGCGTGAGCGGAGGGCAGAAATATGGAGAACTAGAAGAATAATTTAACCGAAAACATTGTAATTCTCATCCGTACGCAGCAGTTTGTGTGTGTGGCCTTGTAAAAATCAGGGCGTAGGAAAGGAAACAGCGTAGAGAAGTCATGTGTGCTAATGTCCGGCAGTCTGTCTTACCCGCAGAGTGAAAGTACAGCAATTGCTACAATCGTGATTGCTATTTTCTTATAAAAAATCTGGTCTAAAATGTATAAATAACTCAAATCGATATTACATAAGTATATATTAAATAAATATAAACAACAACCATTAAAACAGACCTTTAGGAATTTTTTTTTGTTATGTACAAGTACACTGCTACTCTCTAACACCTTAACCACAAACCAGACAGAATGTATCGTGTGGAAAGATGCTACTCGTGCTTCAAGGCTGAGGTCCTGTTTACCACCCTCAATGACTTCCCTCACGCTTCCAAAAGGTTTCACACGAAGAAGATTTGCTTACTGAATTACTGCTGTCTCGTATACGTTACTGAACATATAGGTAATAGTATCTCTTTAAATAATTACATAATTTATCATGTGTACTGATTTGATACGGTACAGCTCGATGAAGAACGAGAGGAGCAACACATACAGAAACAGAATCAGAACTGAATAAATAAACCCTATTTTTTTGTCCCTCTCAGAGAACAAACTGGATCGAGGTGACATGCAGTTCTGCTCTTGTTCCTTTTGTGGTGATCATGTATCCCAAAACAAACAAAAAAACCAAATTGGTCCTGTAATCACAAARTGTCTGGAATCGAAGTGAAGCAGGACGGAGTTGAGCAGAGGCCCATTCAGAGCGAAAAAAAGAAAGAAAAAAAAAAGGAAAAACCGAAGAAGCCGTGTCCGATTTGTGCCTACAGACTGTACGTACAAGTGGTTTGTTAGCAGCACAAGTTTGGTGTTTTGACTTTGGCCGTAGCTTTTCTCTGGTGACAGCAAAGAAATGACGGAGATGCAGAGAAGGGTCCGTTATTGGTCTCGACACAGAAGAAGTTCCAGACAAGATCTTTTGTTGTCACCAGGACCGGAAACAGAGGTTTGCTCTAGCAAGCGAAGTCCTCGAACACGCCGTGACGTCCGGCACGGTGGTGGTGGGGATGGGGGTGGGGGTGGGGGTGAGGGTGGTGGTGGTTGGGGAGGATTGTGTTGGCGTACGCCCCCTCTGGGTGAGTCCGTGTCGTGTCGTTGGGCTCCTGTTGAAGGTAAACAGAATTCAACATTAAGGCGGAAGAAAGTGCAGTAAATCGATACTAATGCCACCGAAAACACTGTCAGGACAACTGTTGTTGAACAAGTTTTTATCATGTTGGTGGTTCCTAAATTTGCGGTTTGGACCCCAGGGTCTGCTCTACCAAAACCACGACTTTAAAACTGCAACATGGTGTGCAAAGTGATCAGACACTTTGGTATGGAGGATCGAAACTGACATAATTAGAAATAAAAGCAGAAGTATGTAAATAAAAATAAGTGGTTTCCTCCTTGCTTTTGTTTTTAACTAAAGCTAAACTGAGGCAGCACAAGCATGTACTGTAGATCTGCACAAGAGTCCTGCTGCTTCCTGTTTTTTGACCAATAGGAGAGGAGCTGACCCAAGAAGGCCCTCCTTATTTGCATAATAAGGCAGAAATGCATAAGGTAAAGTGAATAAAGGAGCTAGAGAATATAAAATGTAAAAAGTATAAGCAGCACAAGTAAATAAAAAGACTTATGGGAAAAATATTAGAAATAAATGAATATAATAATTTAAAAGACACAAATGCACCTACAAGTAAAAGGAAAAACTATATATTAAAACAATAAAATGTAAATTATATCGATTAAATTATAAAACATGAGCTAAAGATTTCCTTTTTAAACTTAATTGCTGCATTTTATTTTATATACTTCTGTTTTTATTTTGAATTATGTCAAATTTGGTCCTCCATACTTTTACACAAACTGTTCAAKTTGTCACTGTTTTTGTTTTCAACTGAACAATCATATTTTTATAGTCATAAATATGGGCCCAGTTGCTGCTGAAAGTATCCAGGTCACCAGGAAATGGTGGGTTTCAAAATAAAGGTTGTTCTTCTCTAATACAGATTGGATTCTTATTTGTTGAGGAACTGTTAAATATAAACCAAGCAAACAACACTGTCCATTAGTGAGTTAAAAACAGCTTTAACATTAAATGTATAACATAAGGTGTGTTTTCTTTAACTATGGTTTTAAAGTCTAAACAACCATTCAGACTCTCACTCCCACCTATAGGTGATTTAGAATCACCAGTTTATCTAAGGTGAATGTTGTTTTTGGCCTTTAGGAGGAAAACATTATACCTGGATTAAACGTGCACAGGGACAAGATGTAAACTCCACATAAGTCTCCAAACGTGGGAGGAGATCCTGTGATTTTCACAAACCGCTGCATCGCTGTGCCGCTTCAGAAAGCAACAATTACAGAAAACAAATAAATAGATCCAAAAACTAAAACAGCTCCCATAAAATGTTCATTTTTGCACATTAAAAACTTTAAATGAGCATTTTAGAAATGCTTTTTTCCTCGTTTCAAAAACATCTTATGTCAAATGCATTTAAAAATGCACATACAATAACATTTTATTGAAAAATTGAATTATTGATCTAATCTGCTGACTGTTTTGWGGGTTTTAATAAGTTAGACACATGGACAGCAGAACAGTGGTTTATATTCCAGAATATTGGAATTTAAATAGGTGCAGTACTAAAATAAAAGTATTTTTTATTATTACTTTTTATTTATTTTTCACGCATGTATTTGGATATGCATGTGAACATCAGGRAGCGCTGCAGCRGCCTCTGCACCCCTACTTCCYACATAAAGAAAAATGTCCTAAGACATTGAGTTACTCTTTCTTGTAGTCAGAATTCTGACTTTTTTCTCAGATATCTGGGTCAAAAACGTCAGAATTCTGAGTTTAAATTCAGAATCATTGTTTTTTTGTTTGTTTTTTCTTTCAGTGACCCTAACCTTTTTTCGAAGTTTTCCAGAGTTCAGACAAATTTTTCAGAATTCTGACTTTAATTTCAGATTTCAGATTTAGATTTATTTAGGTAAATTTGCATTGCAAGAAAAAGAAAACAAAATGAAACACTATTTTACAAATACAAATTTCAGGATTTAAACTTTTTTTTCTCTTGGAATTTTGACTTTAATCTCAAAATTCTGAGAAAAATTCTGAACTCTCATTTTTCTCAGAATTCTAGGATTTAAGTCAGAGCTCAGGAAAAAATACTTCTGTGGCTCCACTCCTCTTTAATAAACTAATTTCAGGATTTAAACTTTTTTTCTCTTGGAATTTTGACTTTAATCTCAAAATTCTGAGAAAAATTCAGAACTCTCATTTTTCTCAGAATTCTAGGATTTAAGTCAGAGCTCAGGAAAAAATACTTCTGTGGCTCCACTCCTCTTTAATAAACTAATAATCTTCTGTACAAATCTCTGTCTTTTGAAGTAAACGTTTTTTTTTCCACATTTTCCAAAGTTATGCTGTTCCACATGATGTGCTTTATAAAACTTTCAAGTTAATGTAAAATGTCATCACTTCCATTCACAGAGCCTCCCCTGGCACCGAAGGCCCGCCTTCCACTTTGAAAACCTCTGGTAGCTTCAACAGTTGAGCCAAATCTCCCACCATCTGTCACAGTCGCTTTGTGCCGAGCAGATTTTGACTCACTTCTGGCGAGATGCAAAATAAAAAGTCTTTTGTTCAGAAACAAGCAACTTCACAATTAAGTTGTGCAATAATAAATCTGAGCTCCAGGGGAGGTTGTGCTTTGCAAAGTGCTTAAGATTAATTAGGAACATTAAACTGCTCGTTCTTAAAGGAGCGGAGAAAATAATAACTTGCCTCTCCCTAACTTGTTTCTTTGTTGTTTTTCTAATACAGTTAAAGTGCTGCAGGGGAAGCTGTACTCAGCATGAACACGGGGAGAGAAGAATTTGTTTCAGCATTTATCCGGTACCTTCACTTTCATTTCTTCCAGACCCACTGTTGCAACTGTTGTGGTCGGCGGCGAAGGCTTGTTCTTCTTCTCTTCTTTCTGTGGTCTGAGCAGACGCTGTAGCCGGTGCTTGATCACCTGGTTTCACCAGCAGTGCAGCAGCAGCAGCAGGGAGGATTAAGAGTCGAAACGAGGAAATGGAGACAAAAAAAAGCAGCGGTAAGAAGACTTCATCTCGGAAGGTCTTTGGATTATGCTATCCTCCAGAAATTACTTCATTAATACATGTTTGGCAGCTGCAGCAGAGGCAGAACAGCAAGGGCCACAGCAGGGGTGGGGGGGCACAGAGAACCATGCACCCCCCCCCGACCCCACGCACACACACACATGTAACCCAGTGCAACCCAAATAAATAACAGTGAAGTCCTTTAAAGTCCTGCTCAGGCTGTTAGAAAACAGGAGCATTCATACAATCACACGGGATAAGCATTCTCTGCGGACCCCGTGGAATAAATAAATTACTCCCCAATGTCTGTTTTTTTAGGTGGCACATTCGCATGGGATAACCAAAACCTGAGATTTTGCTGAAATTTACAGACATTTCCTGGTTATGATATTACCTGGTTTATAGCTGTCGTGTAGCGTGAGCGCCAAAAGTGGTCCATCAAGGCTGCGCACCCTTCTAACAGTTTGTTCGTCAAGCTTTTGCTCTCCTATTTGCAACATTTCACAAGCTATAAAGTGTACTTCCACATTTMCTTTCAGAGAATACCACAACAAGTATAAACGCCTACACTGCTAGCAAGGGTGCGTGCGTGAGTACCCAAAGCCGAGGCTTAACACTGCTCAATGGCCACGGCTCCAGTCAGAAGGCTACAAACTGAAAAAAATATACATCTTACTGCACAGTGCAATGCACGATGTGAGCCACCATTAGCATCTGATTTTGCTCCTTCTCTTTTCTTTTTGACGCCGCACGTTAAAAACCCAAATTACATRTCAGATTCAGCCCATTCCTGTCCAAATCACAGAGATGCATATTCACATTGGATTGGTATTTTCACACGACCTCAGAGTTCAGCAAAATATAGTAAAGAATTTTTACTTTACAAATTGTTCGCACGGGATTAGCAATACAGACAATTATTACAAATAGCATGGGGTTGCTAAACTAATCCCGTCAGAATAGGGTTTAATTGTAGTAAAATATGTGATATGACATGCTAAAAAAGTAAAGACAATTGTTTAAAGGGCCAATATTATGTGTTTGTCAGGCATATATTTAAATACTATACCATAATAAAGTATCTATGTCACCTTTAGCTGTTATTAAAATGCTGTTTTTATGTTTAAATAGAAAATAAATGTATCGTCTCATCACTTCCTCTTCTAAACGCCTTGAAATTGGCCTCTGTCTCTTTAAGAACCTCCTTCCGCTTCTGTCTGGTCCCATTTTGGTGTTTGTGTGTGTGTGTGTGGGGGGGGGGTTGCCCTGCCCTGAGGAAGCTTAGCCTAAAGACACGTCCCAGGGGCGTTTCTGGTCCCAAAAGGCGTCTCTGGTCCCCACCTGTCGTTTTGCTCCTCAGCATGGCTTCCTAAAAACGCTGCAGGATTTCTCAGACATGCACGAATGAGTCAGAGCAAGGCTTTGGGCATGTTTTTATGAGAATATAAC